GATATTTGGCACTACTTAATAAAATTATACTCAAATATACTTAGAAAACATTTTTTTTAACTTATTTTAATGGTATTAACTGAAAAATAAAGAAAAATTATTCTAACATAGCTTCCCTGATTTGATCCAAGAAAACATGGTACTCTAACCCACTGTGCGTCGTAGGTCATCATAATGAATTTGTAGAATTCCGTATATGTCGGGCGATCATCAGTGGCCCAGTAAAAGTCCTTAGAACTGCGTTTAAAGCTGTTGACCCCAGCTTTCAATTCGTAATAGAATTCGTCAATCTTTATAAAATTCTCGCGGTTATCGTTCAATGAAATAACACGACCGAATTCATCATACTTGGGACCCAGAAAAGCGCGTACAACAACATTTTCAATCTTATCCGATGTAATTGTGTATTCGAATTCAAAGTTCTTATGGTTGAGACGCATTTGACGTGCCAACAATGTCTTGTCCCATACAAATTTAGCATCGATGAAAGTCATTTTGTCATTCAACAATCGAAGTCCACCAAGTCGAAGTAGGTGACCAAGTCACTAACATTAACATTCTCAATTTCAACTCCAGGGAAGTATAATTCATTCCGCTTGTATGGCTCAATATATTCGGTTACATCATATGGAAATATTTGAATTACCCTCCTATATATCCTGTAAAATAGAGGATCACGCATCGGGGTTTCAAAGTCCAGTAAGACATTAGGAAGTATTCTATTTCTATTGGCTAAGTACGAGTTAATTTTACCTTGAATTTGGTTTCCGAGGTATGTAATAGAGTCCGGTTTGCTGATATCAATGCCAAGAATGTCAGTGTTGTTTTGTATTATGTCTCCAAGGTATGCAAAGGATTTGCTGATATCAGTCCTCTTACCATGACTGGTCTCGAATAATCCTTGTGAAATTATTACATCAATATGATTAATGAAATGAATTATGTCGTAGATGTAATCGAATTTATCATTCAACTCATATTCGTAGTGGTTTTTGCGGGATGAATAGCTAACACCATTGTAATTGATCAACTGTGGGTCATAACCGTATTCAATTTCAGAAAGGAATGATATATCAGGAACTTGACCAGAACCGTGAGACAAACGTTCCATGTTGTAACAGGCAAGTATTCGACTTACAATATAAACATAGTATTCCCCACTACGATCTTTCTTTAAATCGAATTGTTTGCAATATTGTTTGGGGAAATAATACACGTTGAAATAGTACCAGAAAGAGTTCCATTCTACATCCTTAGTGAAGTAAGACAATTATGATTCTTTATTCAAGAAGAAAATGTCGCGGGTGTAATCAACAGGCATGTAAAACTTCTTAACATCTTCCATCATAGCCAAATATTTAGGGTCCTTGTTAAAAATATCCATGTTGTCGCGCATTATCAAATGGTCTTCGGAGTACCAATTCTGACCAATTCCCATGAGTTTCCACCATTGCCACTGCTTGAAATCCTTGGTGTAGAAGTATTCGTAATTTTTGAATTCCTTGAAGTTTGAGGAGTAATCTTTGTACAAGAAGTCCTTGTATTCTTTTTCGTACATAATGTATTTGCTCCATACATCAAAATCGAATTTCTCAGCTTCGTTGATGAATTTGCTGTTGAAGAAGTGTTGAGGGAAGATTTCATAGATTGCGGGCAACTGTAAGCCTTTGAAGTCTTGACGGTGGGTAAGAGCCAAAGTTAGGGCTTGTACAAACATGCCTTCGTTGGCATACAGGCGGCCCCAGCAGACATTGCGTTGGAATATATCCCAGTTTTTGGCATAGTAGAAGAATTCAAACAAACCATACATCTGCTCAAAGTGAGTGTTAACCAAGGAAGCGAAATATTCACCCTTGGGTAATGTAACCCCATATTTAAAGGCTTCAAAGTACTTTCGCATGTACTCGCTCTCATCGGAAAACTGAAATCGTGTGTTTGGAATTTACATTTTTTAAGAATTGAATAAGAGATTGTAGTTTACCTACCAAATAATCATTTTTGTTATATGTAAAGGTCTTGCCCAATTTAATGTAGTCCTCAAATTGCAACGCGGTAGACAATTTCTAGAAGGAACTTTTGTTTGCTAAAAAATACTCTGTCAGCATAGTTGGTGGATACCTTGGGAAATGCATTAACAACCGCCAGGCCAACCGCAAATACCAAGAAGCCAATCGAAATTTTCATATTTTTAAAAATATTCTGACGAGTTTTATTCAATAGTTGTTCAGCGATCATCAAATTACAATTAATGACCAGTGTCTGTTGTGTTTTATATTTTCCAGGCGCTTTTATATAATTTTCATTTTGTTCCAACAACGAAATGTGTTCGTGATATATTTATTCCAGTATCTGCTATTTGCGCATTATTAAATATATTTGTTAAATTTTTGCTCCAGGTGACAATATCACCTTGTCAAAAATTCGTATGATAAGTCACTTTATTACTGTTGAATGTTTACAATTCTTAAATAAACTGAAAATATGACCCACAAAATCCCCAAAAAACCGTAAAGAATAATCCAAGTAATTATTATCAGAACGTGCATGTTATTGTCATGAATAGCCTTCATAAATTAGAAATAATTTAGTTGTAAAAGTATTTATAAAGAAAGTGAGATTGCATACACCTGTTACAGCTGGCCTAGGTTGAATGACTTAAGGGGACCCCCCCCATGCTCGGGGTCAAAATTTTTGTTGACATAATTCGAATCTACACTGATTAAGGAATGTCTCTACAAAATTTCAAGTGAAAATCTCAAGAACTCTTGAAGATATATCCGATTTATTGTGTCCGCATCAAGTGACGGCTGAAGGGCTTCTCAAACTTTAAACGCGTTTTTCTCTAAACATTTTTTTGCGAATGGCGGGCACGATAACTCTAAAACTAATAATCCAATCGGTTCCAAATTTTGCAACGTTTCTCTGGGAGTGTATAGCTCTCGTATGAACTAGGATAAAGCCAATCGGTGAAGATCTTCCTTATTTTTTAACTTGGTTTTTGGTCAAAAATCGGCGATTTTCCAAAAATATTTTTTCAAAGGTCCACCATTTTGTTAATTTTAGAGCGAAGTCAATAATCCTAGTTCATACGAGAGCCAGACATGTACTCTTTCTAACACGTTGGAATTTTCGGATTCCGATGTTCCAGTGAGGAGTTATCATGCCCGCCATCAAAAATAAGGACTTTTCTTTAATTACAAAAAACAACAACAAAACAATAACAAAATTTTGTTGTAAATTATTTTTCTTCTCTTTTAAATCTTCAATTGTATATGTGTAAAGTTACAAACCTTAACAAGCATTGGTATTGATTTACCAGCCCATTGAAAATCTTGAAAAAATAAAATCGAGAATGGGGGGGTTCCCTTAAATTCATTCAGGCCGGTAGACATATATTTCGGTGTAATAATATTTCCCCAAATATAGTGCAACGACAATTCTGTGAGATGCACAAAGTCATTACTAAATGTAATCATTTTTGTTTTATATGTATTCCACTTGAGTAATACAACAACACTGACTGGGTGCTGTTCGGACGAAGATATTTTAGTTGAGTTGTAATAATTGACCTTCCAGAAGACTAAAAAAATATATATAATTTTGACGCGTTTCTGCACATCACATGTAGCTATGATTTATCTCTAGAAACGAGTAAATAACCAGCAAAAGTAAAAAAATATTAAAAAAACTAATATTTAATTTGAAAACATATTTTATTAATTAATAACTATTTTTGAATAAAATTTAGAACAGGATACAACAATACAATTAAATAATTTATAAAAATTCCCTGAGATGGCGGTTGTCTTTTAGCAGTAGTATTAGGTTGGGGAAAAATAAATTCATAAGGCCGGTCGTCGAAAATGCGGATAAAATCGGAGAAATGATCGAAGTTGACTGGCATGTTAGCAGTCTAATATCGCCCGGGAGCTAAAAATCGACTATAAAACTGTTTTAAATCATTTACGCAAAGCTGGGTTCAAAAAGAAGCTCGATTAATTCCATTCAATTAACAGAAAAAAATAGGATGGATCAAATTTCCATCTGTGAAGCCTTGGCCAAACGGAAGGAGAGAGACCCATTTATTAAACGGATGGTGACTGGAGATGAGGAATGGATCACATACAAAAACCCTGTGCGAAAACGATCGTGGTCAAATAGCGGTGAAGCACCTCAAACGGTGTCCAAACCAGGACTAACGGCCAGGAAGATTCTGCTACGCATTTGGTGGGAATGGAAGGTGATTATTTATTATGAGTTGCTTCCATATGGCCAAACGCTAAATTCTGATCTCTACTGTCAAAAACTGGACCGTTTGAAGATAACAATTTACCAGAATTGGCCAACAGGAGAGGTGTCGTGTTCCACAAGGACAACGGTAGGCCACACAAATCTACAATTACTCGCCAGAAACTTCAGGAGCATGGTTGGGAAGTTTTAATGCATCCGCCATACAGCCCGGTCTTGGCACCAAGCGATTATCATTATTTTCTCGCATTGCAAAATTTTTTAATGATAAAAAATTGGTTCGATAAAAAATTGGTTTGGTGAAAATCGACAACTAGAGTTTTTTTTTCAAATGACCTCTATGAGAGAGCATTATGAAGTTACCTTTAAAATTACACCAAATCATACAACAAAACGGTGCATATTTTACCCAAATCGAACATTCCGAAGCATGTAAAATAAAGTCCAATAGTTCATATAAAAATAACGGATTTCTTTTTCCCCAACTTAAACTTTAATTTTTGGTCTTCTTTTAAAAGGACGATGACTCTACGAAACTCTTCAAACGAAGATTCGAATACTTGTCAGTGTATTTTTTGGTCCTAATAATAATTAAACCTATTTTTTATGCCTTTTTTAACTATCAAGAGTTTCATCAATCTAAAATATAAAAAAGTAACAAAGCAACTGTAATGTAAACATATTTTTATTAGCATCAATGATGTTTTTAGTATAAACATACTACTTTAAAAACTATCACAGTTTTTACGATATATTCATTTAATAATTATAGTAGTAGCTATAATCGAATTTGCCAAATTTCTCGTACTTGTAGCCATAGTACTTTTCGAAAGTATCTTCGTAGTAGATCATGGCATCCTTGAAGTACATGTTGGGAACAAAGAATTCGTATTCATCGATTTCGCGATCGAATGGATAGCCGAATGGCATTTCATCGATGTGACGTACACCAGAACCAATACCGCAAGAGTAGTTGTAGTTGAATGAGTAGGGTTCGTAGGAAGCGGTGTATGGGTAGACGAAGAAGAAGAATTGCATTGGCATACCCTTTTCCCAACCACGAGGCAAGATCAAACGATCAGGGAAACCGCAGTGAGGTTCAGAATAGTCCAAGGCGAATTCGTATTTACCTTCATAGGCCATCATAACGAACTTGTACAATTCAGTGTAGGTGGTGCGATCATCAGTGGTCCAATAGAAGTCCTTGGAGCTGCGCTTGAAGGTGTTAACACCAGATTTCAGTTCATAATAGAATTCATCGATTTCAATGAAGTTTTCACGGTTCTCTTTCAATGACAACACACGGCCATGTTCGTCGAATTTAGGGCCCAAAAAGGCACGGACAACAACCTTTTGATCCTTATCCGATTTAATGGTGTATTCGAAATCGAAGTCTTTGTGGTTGAGACGCATTTGACGAGCCAACAAAGTCTTATCCCACACGAATTTTCCATCAACGAAAGTCATTTTGTCGTTCAACAAGTTGGTCACATCGAAGTCAACCAAATCGAAGTAGGTGACCAGGTCGCTGACCTTAACATCTTCAATTTCAACACCGGGGAAGTACAATTCCTTGTGGGTGTAGGGTTCAATGTATTCGTAGAATTCGAAGAAGACATCGGTGATCTTCTTGTAGACCATGTAGAACATGGGATCGCGCATCATTGTTTCGTAGTTCAAGAAGACATGAGGATAGACTTCGAATTCACTGTCATCAATGTGGGCAAGGTACATATGGGCATACATGTACCAGAAAGTAGCGAAATATTTGTCGTAGTTGTCAATGTTACCTTGCATCATGTCACCGAGATATTCAATAGACTCAGGTTTGCGCATATCAATGATCTGGCCATCGTAAGTCTTGAAGTAACCTTGGGTGATGATTTCCTCAATACGGCTGAAGAAGTTAATAATGCCATACATGTAATCGAAGTTACCATAGGTCTCATATTCGTAATAGTTCTTGCGGTAAGAGTAGCCAACGCCATTGTAGTTGATCAATTGAGGATCATAACCGTATTCAACTTCAGTGAAGAAGGAGAATTCAGGAATTTCACCATAACCATGGGACAAACGTTCCATGTAGTACCGGGCGAGCAGTTGACGTACAACATAGAAATAGTATTCACCGCGACGATCCTTCTTCAAACCGAATTGTTTGCCATCCAAGTAGGGGAAATAGTCCATGTTGAAATAGTACCAGAATGAGTTCCATTCCAAATCTTCGGTGAAGTAAGACAATTCGGATTCCTTGTTAAAGAAGTAAACATCACGGGTGTAATCAACAGGCATGTAGAACATCTTAACATCCTTGATCATATCCAAGTATTTGGAGTCCTTGTTGAACATGTACATGTTGTCGCGCATCATGAAATGATCTTCGGAGTACCAGTGTTCACCCATACCCATGAGTTTCCACCATTGCCACATCTTGAAGTCCTTGGTGTAGAAGTATTCGTAGTTTTTGAATTCCTTGAAGTAAACGGAGTAGTCCTTGTACATGAAGTCCTTGTATTCCTTCTCGTACATGATGTATTTGGTCCAAACATCAAAATCGAATTTCTCAGCTTCGTAGATGAATTTGCTGTTGAAGAAGTATTGAGGGAAGATTTCATAGATGGCGGGCAACATCAAGCCTTCGAAGTCGTCACGGTGGATAACAGCCAAAGTCAAGGCTTGTACGAACATGCCTTCGTTGGCATACATGCGGGCCCAGCAGACATTGCGTTGGAAGATTTCCCAGTTCTTGGCATAGTAGAAGAATTCGAACAAACCATACATCTGTTCGAAGTGAGTGTAGGCCAAGGAACCGAAGTATTCGCCTTTGGGCAAAGTAACGCCATACTTGAAGGCTTCATAGTATTTCTTCATGTATTCGCTTGGTTTCTCGGGGAACTGTAAACAATGGAGTATAAATGCATTTGAAGATTAAAAAATTATTTTGATTTACTTACCACATAATCGTCTTTGTTAAAGGTGAAGGTCTTGCCCAATTTGATATATTCCTCGAACATCAAAGGATCTTCAACACGGTAAACGATTTCGAAAAGGAATTTCTGCTTTGCCAAGAAATCCTTGTCAGCATATTTAGTGACTGGCTTAGGATAGGCATTAACTGCCACTAGACCAACAATGGCCAATAAGGCAATGACAAGTTTCATGTTTCTAAATTATTGAGATCAGAACTATTCGGAGGTTGTACAGCGATCAGCAAATGACAGCCAATATGCTAGGACTGTTGATGTTTGCAAAATCGCAGCATGATTTTATATCATTGACATCATTCGAATTGTAGAGTGATTTTAGTGATATTCGAGCATATGTTCAATATGTATGTATGTATTTGTTTGCATAATTTTGCTTATTTTGTTTGATAACTTCTAGATTCTTCAGAAACGTATATGGTGATAAGTTATTTTAGTGTCGTTGATTTCTCATCTCTCATAAAAATAGTATGAGCTAAATTGAAAAAACGATTTCAAATAATATTGATAAGGGTTTTTGCTATTCTTTAGATTTAATTTGGTTAGATATTGTTTTTAAATTATATCTTGGCGTGTATAAATCAAGATCAAAATGATGTCAACTCATATGGGTACTTGAAGTCCTAACCGTACCGGGGATATATGTTTGTCACGTGCAAAATGGTTGGGTTCATACTTACTGAGATTAGAATCCTTATTTTCGATAATGAGCTTACAACGAAGTCTCTATTTTTAATCATAATACACGGTTCATATATTATCCGATGGCGATGAAAATTTGTCAGATTTATTTATTTGTTAGAAACCAATTGACATTGTAATGTTTACGTTGTACCGAATTTTGTTAACCCACTGGGTTTAAATTCAACTGACTTGGTAGATATTTTATATTTATATTCAGCTTTATGTTTTTAATGGGTGAAAGATATATTTTGATTCTGGAAGTCAAAATTTTTTTATAATTTAAAAAAAAATTAGCAAATTAATCTGAAGGTGGTGAAAATACAATTTCCAATGGAGTTTTCTTTTTAATTTGTATATATATATATATATATTATATATATATATATATATATATTATATATAGCCTTTGAAACAAGATGTTCCTAAAATCTTAAAAACGAATTTTTGGACATATGCCGACAATGTCCTTATCCACCATAATTTTCGAGGCAAAATTTCAGCGACTTGAAATAAGGATAAAATACCACCGGAAATTATTGAAATGCTATTTATTTTCATTATAAGAATGTATGATTAAAAATATAAAAATATATGTTTTTTTCAAAAACATTATTTCAAAGAGGATTTTGCAGGTCATTTTATATAATTATATGGTAGAAACTTTATTTTATTCAAAATTTCAATCATTCCTATTATTATAAATAAACTTTAGGCCTATGATATATATGCAACTCTCACAAACTTTGTTAATATCGATGTAAATTATAGTTGTATATGCTATGTAATTGGTTGTACAGTAAAAATCAAATTAAAACTCTTTTAAAAGAAATTGCCTGAAAGAATTTACTTTTCACATAATTCAAATCTGAAACTTTCATTGAGCCTAGAGTACATATGAAAATTTAATTGATTTAATTTATAAAAATGACTAAGCAAATTTGCATAAAAAAACAAGAAAATTATATTTATGAATCAACATTTAAACAAAAACTTTAAATTGTGCATAATTAGTAAATATGTGTTTAAGGTTATCACAAATAACCTGCAACAGATGTTCTAAACATAGGCGGATCTTTAAAAAATAAAGCATTAACATTGTTATCAGAGTTAAACTTAGAGAACACAAATAAAATATTGTGTGCAACTTATCACGTTCATTTAGAACTAAAACAACAACATTAAATAGCCCGCTTACCTATAAAATGCCCTGTTTAGACATAAGTCAGCAGTAGTCTTTTGGTATTGGATGTAATCCAAGTATCATTTCTAGTCAGTGTTTAGTTATTGATCTCAAACGAAGCCGAACACCTTAGGAACGACCACAATGAAATTAGCCATCGTTCTATTGGCTGTTGTAGGCCTGACAGCGGCCACTGTCAATCTCCCAAAATACGAAACCAAATATGCCGATAAACAATTTTTGGAAAAACAAAAATTCCTTTTCGAAATCGTTTACCGTGTTGAAGATCCTTTGATGTTCGAGGAATATATCAAATTGGGCAAGACCTTCACCTTTAAAAAAGATGATTATGTGGTAAGCAAATCAAAATTTTTTAATCTTCAAATGCCTTTAAACTCCATTGTTTACAGTTCCCCGAGAAACCAAGCGAATACATGAAGAAATACTATGAAGCCTTCAAGTATGGCGTTACTTTGCCCAAAGGCGAATACTTCGGTTCCTTGGCCTACACTCACTTCGAACAGATGTATGGTTTGTTCGAATTCTTCTACTATGCCAAGAACTGGGAAATCTTCCAACGCAATGTTTGCTGGGCCCGCATGTATGCCAACGAAGGCATGTTCGTACAAGCCTTGACTTTGGCTGTTATCCACCGTGACGACTTCGAAGGCTTGATGTTGCCCGCCATCTATGAAATCTTCCCTCAATACTTCTTCAACAGCAAATTCATCTACGAAGCTGAGAAATTCGATTTTGATGTTTGGACCAAATACATCATGTACGAGAAGGAATACAAGGACTTCATGTACAAGGACTATTCAGTATACTTCAAGGAATTCAAAAACTACGAATACTTCTACACCAAAGACTTTAAGTTATGGCAATGGTGGAAACTCATGGGTATGGGTGAACACTGGTACAGCGTTGATAAGTTCATGCTACGCGACAACATGTACATGTTCAACAAGGACTCCAAATACTTGGATATGATCAAGGATGTTAAGATGTTCTACATGCCTGTTGATTACACCCGTGATGTTTACTTCTTCAACAAGGAATCCGAATTGTCTTACTTCACCGAAGATTTGGAATGGAACTCATTCTGGTATTATTTCAACATGGACTATTTCCCCTATTTGGATGGCAAACAATTCGGTTTGAAGAAGGATCGTCGCGGTGAATACTATTTCTATGTTGTACGTCAATTGCTCGCCCGTTACTACATGGAACGTTTGTCCCATGGTTATGGTGAAATTCCCGAATTCTCTTTCTTCACTGAAGTTGAATACGGTTATGATCCTCAATTGATCAACTACAATGGCGTTGGCTACTCTTACCGCAAGAACTATTACGAATATGAGACCTATGGCAACTTCGATTACATGTATGGCATTATTAACTTCTTCAGCCGTATTGAGGAAATCATCACCCAAGGTTACTTCAAGACCTACGATGGCCAACTCATTGATATGCGCAAACCTGAGTCGATTGAATATCTCGGTGACATGATGCAAGGTAACATTGACAACTACGACAAATATTTCGCTACTTTCTGGTACATGTATGCCCATATGTACCTTGCCCACATTGATGACAGTGAATTCGAAGTCTATCCTCATGTCTTCTTGAACTACGAAACAATGATGCGCGATCCCATGTTCTACATGGTCTACAAGAAGATCACCGATGTCTTCTTCGAATTCTACGAATACATTGAACCCTACACCCACAAGGAATTGTACTTCCCCGGTGTTGAAATTGAAGATGTTAAGGTCAGCGACTTGGTCACCTACTTCGATTTGGTTGACTTCGATGTGACCAACTTGTTGAACGACAAAATGACTTTCGTTGATGGCAAATTCGTGTGGGATAAGACTTTGTTGGCTCGTCAAATGCGTCTTAACCACAAAGACTTCGATTTCGAATACACCATTAAATCGGATAAGGATCAAAAGGTTGTTGTCCGTGCCTTTTTGGGCCCTAAATTCGACGAACATGGCCGTGTGTTGTCATTGAGTGAGAGCCGTGAAAACTTCATTGAAATCGATGAATTCTATTATGAACTGAAATCTGGTGTTAACACCTTCAAGCGCAGCTCCAAGGACTTCTATTGGACCACTGATGATCGCACCACCTACACCGAATTGTACAAGTTTGTTATGATGGCCTATGAAGGTAACTTCGAATTCCCCTTGGACTATTCTGAACCTCACTGCGGTTTCCCTGATCGTTTGATCTTGCCTCGTGGTTGGGAAAAGGGTATGCCAATGCAATTCTTCTTCTTCGTCTACCCATACACTGCTTCCTACGAACCCTACTCATTCAACTACAACTACTCTTGCGGTATTGGTTCTGGTGTACGTCACATCGATGAAATGCCATTCGGCTATCCATTCGATCGCGAAATCGATGAATACGAATTCTTTGTTCCCAACATGTACTTCAAGGATGTCAAGATTTACCACAAGGATGTATTTGACAAGTACTATGGCAACAAGTACGATAAATTCGGTACATTCGATTATAGCTATTATTACAATTATTAAGCGATATTGAATATGTGTGTTGCATAGTTACTAGAAGAATCGAACTAATAAATAAAAATAAATAAATATCAATTGAAATGTAAAGCCATATGGTGTTTTAAATTTTTTGGTACGTGTGAAGTTTTTATAGCCATTCATTTTCCCATATGAACATTAGACAACAAAGCAAGTAGTTTATCGACAAGAACTGTAGAAATAGAGGCTGTAAACTGTCCTCAGTGAAAAATACACGTTCATTTTGCCTTCTTTAATTTTTTTGAAATTTTAAAAGGGTATAACTTTTAAACTTATAAAAATGAGTTAAAGTCACTGCAAATAAAGTCATAACATTTTGTAATGAGGTTTTATACCCACAGATTAATTATAACCGTAAAGTGATAAAAATCTATGAATAATTAACATGTGAATTTGCAGCTTCATCAAATCAAGTAAAAGTTTCATTGATATACAGATCCCGGCCATTCAATTGAAATCATTTTAAACCATATTGTTTTTTGAATTCCAAAATCTAAAACTGTTTGTCAGATTACTTAATAAAAATTGTATAAAGTAGGGGAGACTGGGGCACCTTCGGCACTTTCTTTTAAGAGCTCTATATCTCAGTACTTATTCAACATATATAACAACTTTATGGCTGATTTTTGTCCTCTGACACTTAATTATAAAAAATAGTACCAAAAAGATATAAAAAAATAGTATTAGTTAAAAAATTTTACAGTTTTTTAAAAAAAGTCAAATTCGCCGAATGTGCCCCAACCCGGGGTAGCTTCGGCATTTGATGGGGCACATTCGGCACCATAGTCATAGCCGGGTAATTGTCATCGCTATCAGTCTGGTTGAAATTCTGATCCTCTAAAGGCACTATTAGGTTTTAATACGCCACACAATATTTGAATTATATAGCTTTATTTTCGAGCGGCGGACGTTTACATCTCAAGGTCGCACACACCATCAGAAATAGGGGTTTTCTATCGCATTTTCGTCAATACAAGCACGTTTGATCTTATATATGCAATTTCGAACCATATTAAAGGATTAGTTTTAAAAACAAACTCAAAAACCTTTTACGGAAATAATATTGCACAATCTGTATATGGCCGAATGTGCCCCACTTTGAAATGCCGAATGTACCCCGAATGTACTTTTTTTATAGTTTTTTTCATTTTTTTCGATCAGATTTGTAAAAAGATTATATTTTTAAATATTTTTATAATAATACACATCGTAGTTAACCACTTTTTAATAATATTGTCTTAAAAATTTTAAAAGTTTTATACACGAAATACTTACGAAATGGAATTGAAATATTACAGAAACATCTATAAAAGTACAAAAACCTATGTATCTAAATAAGCTTATTAGCTAAAAATTTCAAACTTTGTGTCAGTTATTTATTTCGATATTCGATACCTATGTATCGAAACTAGTGATGTACGGTGAGAACTTCATATCGAAAACGCGATTGCCGAAGGTGCCCCGATGCCGAAGGTGCCCCAGTCTCCCCTACAATCTGTTTTATATATCCTCAAAACAAAAATTTATATGAAATGTTTTTTCGAAGATAAATACTACACCTTTTTTAGATGTTAGTCAAAACATTTCAATTGCAATTCGAAAATTTCATTTGTAATTCGAAAACTCAATTTGTTATTCATAACATTTCTCTCGTAATTCGAGTATGTAATTTGTAATTCACAACGTTTCATTTGTAATTTTAAACTTTTCGTATGAAATTCAAAAAATTCCATTTGAAACTTAAAAAATTTCATTTGTAATTCGAATATTTCCATTTGAATTTCGTAGAGTTTCATTTGAAATTCAAAGATATCCATTTGAAGTTCAAAGAATCCATTTTGAAATTCATAACATTTCACTTGTAATTCATAAAAATGTCAGTTGTAATTCATAACAATTTATTTCAAATTCATAAATATTCCTTGTGCGTTACCAATAATATTTTTCGAATTTAAAATTAAGTGTTATGAAAAACAAATGGAATGTTATGTATTTCAACTCAAATGTTAAGAATTTCAAATGGAATTATTAAAATTTCAAATTTCAATTTTAAATGGGCTGGTAAATGAATACCAATGCATGTTAAGGTTTGTAACTTTGCAAAAACGCTGTTTGGAGGAAAACGCGTTTAAAGTTTGAGAAGCCCTCTTGCTGTCACCTGATGCTAACACATTAAATCGGCTATATCTTCAAAAATTGTTGAGATTTTCACTTGAAAATTGGTAGGGATATTCTTGAATTAGTGTAGCTTCAAATTAAATAAAAATTAAAAATCAAATTTTTTTGAAACCGATAACGGGTGGGGTCCCTCTAATAGAAAAAATGCCGACATAGTCATTCAAATGATAAAAGTTGTCATTGTTTTTTCAATACTACATTATGAACTTAAACGTTATTTTTCATTTTCTGATTTTTCCATTGATTATATATCAATTAAATTATACATATATACATCATAGGATCGCCGACGACTAAGGAATATAATATATACTGTTTGTATTTATAAACATCTATATTCCATTTCTATATTCAGAATAATTATGAAATTTGAAAAGTTTTATATATATATATATATATATATATAGAAAACTATTATTTCTATCTTATCAGTTAAAATATATTGGACCAAAGGTCATGACAATTTTGTTTTTTCTCAAGCATAAAAGACGGCATACTCTCCAAAAATCGAACAGTTTACGTATAACACAAATGGTGATTCGTACAATGAGAGTCGTGTTCATACTTTTGGCCCTTGTGGGTCCTATTATGGCCATAGATGAGCATATCGATGGACCCGAAGATATATACAAACAAAAATTCTTATTTGAAATTGTTTATCGGGTCGAAGATCCCTTAATGTTCGAGGAATACATAAAATTGGGTAAAAGTTTTCTATATCACGAGAATGATTATTATGTAAGTATAATGTAAATATATAATAACTTAATTCAAAGTAAAGATATATTGTATCTACAGCACTCGGAAGAATATGCCGGATACAGGGAGAAATATTACAAGGCCTATACACATGGAATGACTTTGCCGAAAGGTGCCTTTTTTGGCACCATGATTCCCGATCATCAAGAACAATTACAAGGACTTTTGGGTTTCTTGTACTATGCCAAGACATGGGATATATTCAAGCGTAACGTATGCTGGGCCCGTCTACATGCAAATGAGGCAATGTTTGTACAAGCTCTTACTCTGACCGTAATGCACAGCAGATATTTCAAGGGTCTTATGATGCCAATGATCTATGAAATATTTCCACAACATTTCTTCAATAGTAAATTTATACACAAAGCTGAGCAATTCGATTTCAAACATTGGAGTAAGCAGGCTATGTATGAAAAAGAATACGGCGACTTAATGGACAATTCTAAGAGCAATTTAAATAGCAAAGATTGGAAACTTTGGCAATGGTGGAAAATAATGGGATTGTCGGAAACTTGGTATGCTGATGAGCAGAGTACCGACGATATAAAAGCCTTCTGGATGCCTGTCGATTATACACGCGACCTTGACTTTATGAATGAGGAATCAGCATTATCGTATTTTACCGAAGATTTAGATTGGAATGCCTATTGGTATTATTTCCATATGGGCTACTATTCATGGTTAGATGAAGATGCATTTGGCTTGAAGAACGATCGTCGTGGTGAATATTTTGCATTCTTTGTACGGCAGATACTTGCGCGTTACGCGTTGGAACGTTACTCACACAAGCTTGGTGATATCTCCTTGGTGCATAGGTACAAAACTGTGAAACATGGTTATAATCCTCAATTATCGTTTTATAATGGTATTAGTTATTCGACTCGCAGTAATAATTTCAATTTGAAAAGCGAGGGTAACACGGAACTTCATAGAAAATTTGCCATCTTTAGAAAACGCCTCAACAAAGCTATTGCAGTAGGCCACTATACCATGGCCAATGGTACAATTGTCGATTTACGCCAACCCGAATCTATTGAATTCATCGGAAATCTAATGCAGGGTAATGCCAATGCTGCATTTGGCTCATATTGGTTACAGTGGGTATATATGTATTTCGCTCAAGACGATCATCCCGAAATAAATTATCCCCACACAATTTTAAATTATGAAACTATGCTACGGGACCCTATCTACTATCAGACTTTAGTGAAATTAGTCGATCATTTTTATTTATTCCATAAATTCCTAAAACCCTATACTAGTGAAGAATTATCGATGCCTGGCCTTGTGATTCGGGATGTACACATATCACCGCTGATAACATTTTTCGATTTATATGATTATGACGTCACCAATTTGTTAAATGACAAAATGTCTTTCGTAGATGGAGAATTTGTGTGGGATAAGGTTTTACAGGCACGTCAAATGCGTTTGAAACACAAAGATTTCCACATAACGTTTGACATTGAATCGGATAAGACACAGAGAGTAGTTGTGCGCACATTTTTAGCTCCAAAATATGACGACAATGGTCGTGTAATATCATTGGCAGAAAATCGTAAACATTTCTGGGAAATGGATAAATCAATGGTCCAGCTTGAACGTGGAAGGAATTTTGTTAATTTGACTTCAAACACGTTACGTCATAAAATCGGCAATCGTTATACATACACACAGCGATATAAAGATATAATGTTTAATTTAGCTGAGTCTAGGTCAGATATTAAATTAGTTGATGACTACTGTGGATTCCCGGAACGTTTAATTTTACCACGCGGTTGGTTGCAAGGTATGCCAATGCAATTCTATTTCATTATTACACCCTATACAGAGACCGGACATTCAAATGAAAAAATGTGCAGTTTTGGTAATGGTAGCCCTTACATTGATAATCGTCCTTTGGGCTATCCTTTTGATCGTGAAATTAATGAATATGAATTCTTTACTTCGAATATGTTTTTCAAAGATGTGAAGATCTATCATGAAGATCTGTTCACTGAAAATTTTGGTCTAACATATAAAGAACAATTTGGTACATTTAATGCAACATATTTCGATGAAATTCTTAAAGAATATAAATATTATAGTTAATTTTATTATATATTTAATAATAATATATGATATTATATAAAAATAAAAATTACAATAAAATAAAAAAATAATCTATTAATAATGTGCATCTTTATATGATAATATTATCTATGGGCTTTCAAAGTATATAGCGTATAGTGAAGAATTCTAACTCTCTTGGAATCCAAAATTACCAGTTGAAAAAGCGGATTTTGTACTGAGTGGCACCTTTGCACCAGTAAAATTTTATAACAAATTTATAAATGACATGAGATCAAAGTTAAAATTTCATATTTTTTTTGAGCATAATTTATATTTGAAAAATTTTATATAACATTGACATGCGTCAGAATATTAACATGAAATGACACACAGATGGAACTGGTGATTATAATGAAAGTGAAGTACAACTATGTTTTTATGCCGTATACAACTATGTTGTCAGGGTATTATAGCTTTGTGCAGCCGCAAATGTTTGTAACGCCGCGAAATATTGGTTCTAGACCCACCTTTAAGCATACCGATCGTCATATCTCGACTAGCTGAGTCGATCTAGACATGTGTGTCCGTCGGTCCATTATCATTTGTAAACACGATACAGGCCACAGTTATGGACCAATCTTCGCGAAATTTTGCATGTAGGTTCTGACCAATGAAGACCCCTATTGTTTTTGGTAAAGATTGGTTAATATTTAGGGGATGAAATGGACCAAATACTTAATTTTTGTCGGGTTTTCTGGTCGCTCCAGAGGCCGCAGTTATGTTCCGAACATCGCGAATTTTTGCATGAAGAAGGGGACCGGACCAAAGAATAAGCATGCGTGTTTTGATAAAGATCGGTCAATATTTGGGGGGTCAAATTGACCCAGACTTTTGTGTGAAAAATTAAAAAATTTTTATTCTGGGGCCTATATACTTGCTCCTGAAGGACTTATACCCGAGAAGTTGATAGTATATCCAAGAGGAGTTGTTGACCTTCAAATTGATACCAATTATATGGCTGTATGTACTCTGATGTGGGAGTTATACGTAATTAGGTAAAGGTGGTTAGGTGCATAGTATTAATATTACTCCATTAGAGAACGGAAATGTCGCGCTGATCGCTTTGAAATTGTACATGAAGTTCCGATTATGTTGAAGGACGACGCCTATAGTTTTCGGTGAAGTTGTGATTTCATTCAGGGGGTGCAATAAACCAAAAACTTTAATTTTGTCAGATTCTCTAGTCGCTCTAGAGGTAATTATTATATGCAGAACATCACATAAGGGTGAAGGGGATCTGACCAAATACTTAGAGCGGCTGTTTAGATGATGATCGGTCAATATTCCGAGGGTCAAATCACCAAAACCTAAAGTGACAATTTTTTTTATTTCATGGCGTAAAAATTCACTTCAAGAAAAAAATTTTTGGAAAATATGCCAGTGTTAGAAAGTAGAGTTGCTGATCTATAATCGGTAAAAAGAGTACAAAATATTGAACAGGCTCAAAATGTGGAACCGCAAAAATTTTGCTTTTCGTGGTAGTTGTGTAAGGTATCATATGGTCGGCCCCGTCCGACTATACTGCTTCGCTCACTGGTTTTATTTTATATATTGCAAAGAAGTGAAATATTTAGTTTTCTTGGTATAATTAATCCACCATTTTGGATTAATTTTAATAGATTTTCAAAATCTGATCTACAAAACGTTTTCAAAAATAATTTGATTAATTAAACATTAACTTTGAAAAAATCCGCCGCCTTTTTCGGTTGACCCTATTTCATTTTTACTTTTTTCTTGTAGAATCGTAATCAGCGTCCTTGAAATCTTTTTATCTGATATTTTTTTAATAAACCCTAGTCTCTAATATTGGCCAAAAAATGGGATCTCTGGCCCATAGTGCAGCTCTTAAAGCTCTTGCCATTGAAAATTCTAATCAAAACAGTGAACTCTCGATAATGCGAACTAATTAATGTCGTGGTAGTAAATATTTTCAAATTTGTTCACATTTTAAATTCGACCAGCTTATTTACCGCTAATTCCCTGATTTTTTCAATACTTCAATGTCAGTTTGAGTGTTCGAGAGTTCGCTGTATATACTCAACAAACTGAATTTATCATAATTTTCTGAATCCAAAGTATCCATGAACTGTCCGAAATATTTTTTGTTGGTTTAAAATATAGTATTATGAAGGATAGAATACTGTGTGGCTAAGTCTTCAATTAATACATTACCAATTAAAATGTTTCCTCAAAAAATCATAAGTTAATCTACAATTTTAGTATTTTAAAAAATGATTGCTGCCGATTTTGAAAATTAATCCTTTCAGTGTCAAAACAATAAAAGTCCAAAATTTTGTATTTAAAATCATATAAAGGCACAGAGTTTAAAAAAAAAAACAATTTTTATTTTAACTCTCGGCGGTACATAGTATAACCGACACATCGGAAGAAAGAGAGTACTTTTAAATGTCGAATATATTCGACAAAAAACTGAAAGGGTTAATATAATTCATCGTGATAGAGGTGATTCATACCAGACCAATTTTCAATTTAAATTAAATTAATAAATAATTATTGCAATTACAATTCTAATTTTCAATACAGATTCAAAAAGTAAGAGAAAATTCCATTAACAAAATTAAATAAAAATATCACCATTGGCCTAACACAACCCAACTTCAGTTATCTCCACAAAGATTTCATGATTCCCAAACCTTTATCAAATACGCACACACATGCTATGTACATTGATGTGTTTTTTTTCTGTGGTGTTCAACAATATTGCGTTTATTGTGCAGTAGGGTTTCATAAAATGGTGAAACAAAAACAAATCACAATAACAACTACTACTATTATAGAAGAGTTTTTGCATCTACCGCAAAATGTGGAATTGCACCATTGATTGCATTTTGATCGAAATCAACCACAAAAACTAATAATAAAAATGAGATATAAAGCACAACAACGCGAATGACAAAATTTAGCAATACAACAACAAAACAAAACAAAAAAACACGAATAGAACGGCATCGGGAAAGGTATTGAAAATGATAAAATTGCATCTATGCTCAACGCGTTCGTTTTTGCTTTTTTTTCAATACAAAGGTGCAATGGAAAATTTGTGCACAAAAAACAATCGTGTTATCATCATATGAACACAATAATATCATGGGTTATCATCAGCAACAACATCAGGCAGTGAATGCGGTAGGGCATGGTTCTTGCACAACGGCATAACAGATATTTTAGCGATTTTTTTTTTGTCATTATTTCTATGCATATTGTAGACTGATGTGGGGACAACTACTACAACAGATTGGTGTAGATTTTCAAAATGTTTTTTGTTGTTATATAACGAACTTTTTAAGTTTACATACCAATTTTCTATTTTATATTAATAATCAAATGTCAGCTACAAATTAAATTAACAACATACCTGAAAAGACAAGCGAAAAAAATTTTATTTACAAATGTTATTATATAAATAAAAAAATAACTGTGTAGTAATTTTAATTCAATTTTAATGTGTATAAAATGCAATAGACACGCAACTAACTATGGTTTAAAACAGAATTGGCTTTAGGGATAGTATCTAATGCATATACAGTACTAGTAAAACAACATTCCATTGCAAAAGAAGACCGGGGAAAATGACTGGGCACGCATTAACTTCTATTTGTTGGCCTTAGCAGTTTTGCTTAATAATTGACATTTCTATATAAAATTCTTTAAAATTATGACAAACAAATTATGGTTAGAATATAAATAGATTCTATAAGATTCTGAAGTTCTTATGGATTTTGTGTGTAATAATAGTCTATGTCCCAATATATAATATATATAATACAATATATATATATAATACAGAAATGTTCCACATACATTCCTGTTAAATAAAAATATAAAATAAAAAACAATTAGTCAATTACAAATTTTGTGTATGTTTTCATGATAATGGAACCTTCAAAGTATAATGATATAATAATCATTTCGTGAATTCAAAACATTGACATATAGTTCGTCTATAAGGATTCTTACCCCCTGATAACCCAAATGCCAAATTAGGGGAACTTCGGTCGTTGTATAAGCAATATGTCTAAACTTGGACCCACGTAAAAATATTGCTACACAGAATTCTTTGTCGAATTGGAATATGCGATAATTCTAAAAATGTGGAGGAACCTTAACATTTTTCCGATTTAAGATTTTCTAAGCTACATTACAGCCACTTCGGTTGGAAATTGTGGCTGTGGCATTCAAAAATGCCTAAAATAGAATGATAATTTAATGTGGGAATCTTTACTCAGGGAACACGGAACGAGAAATGCTACATTGCAGCCACTTCAATATGTTTTCATTGTTAAACAATTTTTCCTACGGCAGATTGAAAGTATTGTTACTTCGGGTAATGTGGACCACGATTTTCTTTTTTTGATATTCTGGTCGTACCAAAGGTAAAAACTAAAAACAAATTGTTTTAACGACATAGTAGATTTGTCGTCTACATATATTCCAGGTCAAACATTATATATTTGACTATAAAAATTTTATTGCATTATATATAAAAAAACTCAAGACTGCGAATAAAAGCAACTTGGCGCGTAATGTGGGCCATTATGTGCGGGTAATGTGAACCAGTAAGTTCCTATATAACTTCTTTATAATTGAAGAAAAAAATTGGTTGACTCTTGTGATAAAAAAACTTTTAAAATCACAGATTTCAATAAGAGCTTAATTAAATGTACTAAAAAACATTTTAGATTTTTACTAATTAGGAATACATATATCAAGGCGGCATATTTCAAGCGTTTTCTTAGATATGGGGGTGGTCCACATTAGACGCATAGTCCACATTACCCGAAGTTACTCTATTCATCAAAGTATTTAATCGGAATTTGGACTGAAATTTTAGTATTTTCAATGCTCTTGAAACTAAGGTCGTCGATCAGTTCAAAATATATTTTATGTGGTCTGGTGGTC